CAACACCCCGCCGCCGCCGCCACCACCACCACCACTCTCTCTCTCCTTCTTATCCAAGTATGACCTATAAAATGAACAGGAAAGTCGGCTTTTCATTCAAGAAGTAAATTGGATACTTGAAGAATTCTTTATTTCTTATTTAACCAGCACAAAAATCGCCCATATTTCTCCTTTGATACTTCTGCTCTCTCTATCTCCCTCCCTCCCTCTCACTAGCACTCGCCATATGTTAGTTTTTTTCCAATCAGATGGGGGAAGAAACTGCGAAATTGGCTGAAAAATAATCTATGCTAATCAGTAGACTGTTACAAGGTCACATTTAATTCAATACAATATTTTTCTCAATTATTCAATATATATATATATATATATATATAGAGAGAGAGAGTGTGTGCTAAATAAGTTAATTAAGTATTATTGATATACTTATATCAAATGGCAGGCTTTATGATACTTATCATTAGCCATTTAGTTGACTTTGAGTTTCGCATAGGGGAGGAACTGACAAAGTCCCTAAAAGTGGAGGCAGGGTGCAGAAGAATGATTCACAGATGTAGAAGAGGCAGACAGACAGATAGAAACAAAGGTAGGAAAAAAAGGTAAGGTAAAGCGAGTGATATGGAGGTGGTGGAATATGACATACATTCGGGTCATAGTAGCTTGAAGTGAGAGTCAACTATCGATTTATAGACTTATTTGCCGTATGAGTATTCGTTGCCCAGGGTGCACCAAGTGGAGGTAAATCTACTGCTCACCCCGAACATTTATTGAATCATTCATTCATTCGTGGCTAATTCTAGACTTTTACAATTCACATACTCTGCTCAGAATTGTCTAACAGCTGATTACCAACCATTTACTTACTTGCTATGTCCACTTCATGTCGACTGGTTCTTTGATTGTGATGGTTGGTCTTACCATTCAATGTGTCACTTTCTAAGAAGTGTGAAGAAGGTGAATAGATCTTCCATGAGGTTAAACAAATTTATATAATCTTAACATACTCTTGTTACCTGAGTTTCAGCCAATAGTAATTCTGAGGAAAAGGCAAATTCCATATTACTGACAATTCATGGTTTTTCCAGTGTCGTTTCCACTTGGCAGATTTCTACACTTATATGATCCAACAAATCGTTTCACAGGTCTTGCATTGGCAATATCAGAGACAGACATGGCCATAGTTACTTCTCAATGATAATTTCTATGAGAAATCCTTCTCTTCATCCAAACTGAAAGCCAATGTAAAATTACACATCAGAAATGGGGACTACGAGGTATTTCAAGCGCGTAGTTAATTCAAATAATAGATTTCGATTATATCTTTTTTTCCAAACCAAAGACCATGCATTTGTATTCCCACTCCTCCCCCACCCCCACCACCTCCCCAATTAGAAAAAAGTAAAGCATAATTTTGGCTAAAATTGCCTTTAATTTATAACTTTGATTACCCTTTTTTGTAGTTCCGAAGCCTTTCCGCGTTTTTTAAACGCGCTTTGCTAATAATTTAAACAATTTTGTGCTATTCATTTCACAATTATTAAAAGGTGAACTTAGTAAGCAAATTTAACGCTTACTTACGAAATGAAAACACACATTTTCAATCGAAATGTTATTATAAAATGTTAGAATGATTGCGTAATTAAGCCTCTTCAACTACGCTCTAGTTGATAAAGCTTAAAGAAGTCTCTCCAATTGTTTTGTAAATGAAATTTTTCCTATTTTGATAAAAATATGCTAATGCACTTGATTAAGTGCGTTTTATAAGTATATATATGTATATATTTAACATATTAACTAATTTTGACCCTAACTAAGTCTGTTCCCACCTTTAATCTAAGGCTGAAATTTAGCTAAGACAAAGCAAGCGTTTTAATGCAGGCAAGGGTAATGAAAGAAACTATTGTTCTTAAAGATACTCTTCAACGAAAGTACGGCGAACTCTCGGGGGAGATTGTGATTGTTGAGATAACCCTAAAGGAAATTCAGGAGATATTGGCTGCTAACAGGCAAAATTCTTCAGTCTCACAAACACCCCGCAGTCCCTCTATCGTTCCTGTGAGCGCCTTTCAAAAACCCTGCATTCCAGAAAATCAAGGTGGTGTTAAGAGTCTTGGGATATCTCTCTGTGGAAATAAGGATCTCAATCAAATGGCTGTTCTAGTCTGTGGCCTACGACCTGGAAGTATAGCTGAAGTGGATGGAAGAATTGCCGTTGGTGATCAATTACTCGAGGTAGGTCATTAGGGCTCACACTAGTGGCAAAAATAACTTTTGTCCAATTTTAATCAACAGTAATGGCAATCAATAGTCTCGATAATGAAATTGATGCAATTTCTTTCCTATTTTAGCTCAATGAGCATATTCTTTATGGACGAAGCCATCTTAACGCCGGTCCCATGATTCGATCGTGTCTTTTGAGTATCCTCCATCGAAATTCGGGCAGAAAAGCAAAATCCCATTCCTCCCTATGTTTTGTGATTTGCCGGAATCCCGAAAATATGGCAAATATGGCTGTTGCTCCTCTCTCATACGCCACTGTAAGTCAATTCTTTTGTTGGATTGGTTGATTGGAATAGCAGATGTTCAGCGTCTTATAAATCGTTTGCAGTCGAGATATAATTCAGCAAGATTAAAAGCTTATTCCTCGTGTGTGCGCGTGTGTTGAAAATAATTACTAGATTAAATATATACTCTGCGTTGGCTGATGGCTGACGTCAATTTCAATTGACCTAAACTATTCATAGATTCTATTTTTACATAAAAAATATGTATTCACATATTTTTCTACAGAAAAAATAGTTTTTCTTTTGAGAGAACTGTTTGAATTGAATTCTTTGATCATTCAGCTTTTGAAATAGTATGCTTATCAACCATCTTAACCATGCTCATTTTTGATAGGCAGGTAAGTGTTACAGTTTTATAAAGGGGGATGAATCAGACTTGGTTAGAAATTCATTCCCACTATTTAAATTTCACAAATTCATCTTTCTTAATTAATTCTGAGAAATAATGATCAACTTCTCAACCCCCCCCCCTCTCCTTCTTCAACAACCTTCAAATACTATTGGAGATCACTTCGTTCTGACAATAAATACAGTCCTTCTTATTCATTTCCTTGTCCAATGATAAAAAACTACACTTCACGTGACCTTGGCATCGCTTTATTCACTGAGTACGGTTCACCCAGGGTAAAAACGATAATCACAATAATGATTGCAGTAAATAAAATTCAAATATATATTTCTCCTGACAATTTCCTAGTGATTTGTCATCGTCGTCACAGATACATCAAATAGTACTATGCTACTTTTGGAGATATGTTGTTTCCCGAAGGTTTGTGTTAACACAATTTGAGGAATGATTGTTTTTTTGCACTCTTTGGGAGCTTATTTTAGGTTACCTTGGCCAATAATTTTTGCATATATTTTATCCTTTCTCCTTTCCACTTAATTACTTTAATTACCGCAAATTTTGAATGCACGATAATTAGTTGCGTTGAAAGATGCAACTTTCCTCAACTTCCAAATAGGCATTAATAGTGTTTTGAGGGCAAAGTTAGAACGATGGTATTGATTTTAATTTCTTCAGCGTTTTAATTTCTTATATGGTACAGAGGCTGTTTAATTACAAGTTTGTTCAATTATCTTTTCCCTTATTTTGCATTTCAGCAATGAAAAAAGTTATTTCTTAATTACTGCAAATGTTTGTTCTCAGAGGTACTGTCTACGCTGGTTTAAGAGGAGAAATAGCCCTTACCTTATTTTAAACACCAAAATATCTTTTACTGCTACACGAGACGATATTTTTAAACTTTTGAAAACAAACTAATTTGATCGAGTTTATTTCCTTCATTTTGTAGAATTCTCAAAAGGTCAGTCGACGAAATAGTGCCGAAACTGGATCTGGGGTGGAATCTTCCTCATCCAAAAGTGCCACTGAATTGCGTGGAAGTCTCATTGGCCGGTCAACTTTCGAAGAAGTTCATGCTACTCGACTACTTCGAGTGAGTTGAGTTGAGTTGTTATTGGCGCTATTGTTTAGCAATAGGGCTTAACATCACCAGAGTTAGTATTTTTTTTTTAAAATAAGGAATAAATTGTATACCTCAGAGGCTTGAAATGAAAGAAATCTCGAGAACGATTTTATTCATTTTCTTAACATGCCATAATAATTTCATTAGATAACTAGTCAATTCAATATTCGAATTAAATAATGCTTCCAAATTAGAATTCAATATTTTGTATTGATCAGTAATTGACAAAAAATAATTTCGATTTCCTGAAAAATAAATTAGCCATAAATAAAGCAATTTACTCTCAATATTCTGCCGGCCATGAGAGGAACTTAATTGAATTAACTGTTAATTTATTTGACTGTTAATCAAATAATATGCACGTGTTTTTTTGCCTTTGTCGCTTTTGCTAATAGAGTATTTTGAAAAAAGCTTGCTATGTCTACAGTCGTATGCATGTGCGTTGACACTGTGGAACACTTCATTCGATCAATCGATGGTATTTGTCCTCTCGATGGCCATTTTTCCCTTCAGTCTCAACGTGACATTTTTTGTTCATATAAAATTTATTTCAAATGGCAGACGTTTTGATAGTTATCATTAGCTCTTTAGCTGACCTCGGGTTTCAGAGGGGGGGGGACAAAATAGTAAGAAAATGTCGAGAGGGGGAACAGAGGAGTGACTCACAGATGTAAGAGAGACAGACAGACAGACACAAAGGCTGAGAAAAGGTAAGATGAGTGCTGTGGAAGAGGTCGAATATGACCATACAGTGGAGTGATGGTAGTTTGAAGTGAGAGTCAGCTATCGGTTTATAGACTTTTTTGCTGTATGAGTATACGTTGTCCAGGGTGCACCACGTGGAGGTAAGTCTATCTCAAACCCTTGTGCATAAAAAATAAAATCAGTGGGACAAATCTGGATGAAGCTATTTCCACGCAGAGAGTATTGTAACATCAAAGTACGGCATAACCAATCCATAAAATTTGTCTTTTTTCACCTCTTTTTCCCAGGGGCGCAATGGATTCGGCTTCGCGATAATGGACAAAAGCTTTACCAACGAACCAGGAATTTACATCAAACAGCTAGTGGAAAACAGTCCAGCTGCGTTGGTGAGTTCTCAGTCTAATTAGGTGGCTGAAATTTTCATAACTGCCTCAAAATCTACACTCCTCAATATTTTATTTTTTTGTTTCATTTGCAAATTACCTGCAAACTTGCTTAGAGATGCAATTCTTTCCACGAATTTACTAATAAAATAGCATTTACCCTTCTATAAATTTTGTCTTTATTATTATGTGCTTAGTGGTTAGTTATTGTTCTGTGTGTTTGAAAAAAAATAATAGATAGAAGTGGAGTGCTGGAAAGCGAGATGTCTCTTCGTCACCAAGTGTTTGTTGCGCAGCCGGTTGTTAGCGCTTTGTGCTAATAAATTCCCGCCTGTTTATAGGCCAATGTCCCCCCTCCAGATTCCCTCCAGATTTTCTATAGCCTTCGTTCTACCAAATAGCCATCAAAATGATTCAAATGAAAATCACATTCCTTCTATCTGCCTCTCAACGCTGGTTGCATGCGTGCGTTAGTCTGTCAAGCAATTCGCATGAAATACCGTTGTGAAGGAGTGGTTTGGAAGGTGGGTGAGATGATTTTTACCCATGAAAGTCGAGATTTTTTCGACTTGGCAGCGAGAGGATGTCATGGATCATAATTTGACGTTTATTTTGAGGAAGGCATTCTATTCACGTGATGTTCTAATTACTCTCGTCTTTTATTAGGCTCCAATCAACGGGCAATTTCTGAAGGTCTCTTTTTTGCTAGTTAGGCTTAAAACCCTGATCATAGAGCTATTTTAGACGATAGTTCGCCCATCATTCTAGCTATTGTTAGTTTTAATCATTTTCATTGTGGCATATTTTCGATTTCGATCAAATTTCTTTCTCCTAGAAGACAATGAGAACAATAACTGCCTGTGCTCTATTTTGGTAGCTCTATTTTGAAAACGTTTCCCCCAACCAAGGAACATTTTTTCCCATTTTTGACAGAATTGATTTAATTATTAATTTTATTGCTTGAAGTCACGGACAACATTAAAGACACTTGAATAATTGAATAGGTAGGGCAACTAGACCCCAAACTGCGTTTTGCTACTATGCGAAAGGGCTATAGACGAATGAAATAGAGCCGTCAAGGGTACAGAATTATGGATTATTGATATCACTGTATGAATCAATATGCAGTGCGTGACTCATTAATGCAGTTATAGGGCTAAAGCCTTCAGTGTTCACATGGAGATGCGTTGTCAATCCTGTACTTAACAAGAGAGCAGGCACTTCGGGCCACACTGTTTAGAAATACGTATTCTTTCATTTCTGTTGTTGGCGGGAATTTACCAGGGAGCGTTGGCTATCCATACCATTATCGTGCACCTTAATCCTTACCCACCCACCCCCCCCCATATCTTGTAAGGCAGACTTCGAAATATTGATTATTACGCCTATTGGGGGATAATTATCGACTTTCATTGCCCTTTCAACGAGAGCAGAAAGTGTGGAATCCTACTTGGCGATAAAATCTCAACTTTCTATCCTTTGCATTGATAAATAGTTAAAGCTCATGGGCATCCATTTACAAATTTGAAAGTCTTACTAAGTCAGTGAATCTACATCTAAGAGGTGTAACGTAAAAGATTTCGGTCGATGAGATCAAACTAAGTGCTGTTTCAAAACTTCTTTCATTAAAGGTAGTTACAAAACGTGAAATTCATCACTAAGACGCACAATTTAGCCTCTACTTATTTGTGCATGTCGGAAAAATTTGCAATTATCTTCGCTTTTAAGTACTGCCCGTCCAATCCAATAAATTACCTAATAACCAGATGGTGTTATGAGAGCTTTTAACACTCTATTCGATCAGGGCTCTTTTCCAAAATTTGTTTGCGACAATTGCCAGTCTGGAGAGTTTAAAAGAACAATATAAAAGCCTGGCCCATGGAACAGACCGTCTAGTTCAGCTCGTACTATAGCATATTTGAAAAAAGATTTTATCACGTGGTTAGGCATGTGTTCTTCGGCAGTGGAAAATTCCTTTCCAAACCCCACCCCCCCNCCCCCCCCCCCCCCCCCCCGCCCTCCTCCCACCATTGGCAAATATCTATTTTTGGATTAGCTGCTGCTTTGAGAATCACTATATAACAATTATACACAAATTTAAAAGATAAAACCGTTTTTTTAAACTAGGAAATGGTATTAATGGAATATTCTTGCGATAATTTCCCATCTAATTTTGGAAAAATGAGCAATATTTGTGCCAACAAATCGAGCGACTTATAAGAAGCATTGAATGCATTCATTAAGAATTAATGCTAGATCATTGTCCTAATTTTATTGCTGATTGACGAAAATATCTTATGAATATATTAATGAGAAATAAGTGACTTTAATTGACTAGAATAGTCGTAAGCCAAGCGCTTCGTTACCATCACTAGGAGAAAAAATATTAATAGCAGAATTTCCGAATTCGAGGAAAAATGTATGCATCGAAGGAAAAACTTATTGAACCTTCGACATTGTTCTCATCATCTGTTTGAGCCAACCCCCATTTCTTATCTTTCCTTTGACTTTCTGGTAATTGATTTGTCTTACCTTTCACAATTAGTAATCCAAAGCTTTTGAACATTGATCGGTGTTAGTAGAATGATATAACTCTTGCAGTTATATTCGAGTTGGAGGTCGTTTATGTACACCGAATCACCTCTGTGCCGCAAACTGCTCTTAGTTACTCTAAAATAATTTCTTACTGAAGAAATATTTTTGAGACATTTGTATCTAATTTCATTGGTTTCAAGAGGAATCTATTTGGAAGGGAAGTTTGGAGGGGGGACGTTTCGTTTTCTGCCGAGTAAGTTCGATTGATGTTGACTGATGTTTGAAAGGTGCGTGGTGGAATTGAGGTAAGAAATTTAGGAAAAAATTTCATGTTCTCGTGGAATGGCGTATCAGTTCTTTTTGACATAAAAGGCCTTTTTAGTTTGAATTATTTCAGGCCATGAGCTTTTGGTTTAAGCATATCAACAGCCTTCTTCTTCTCTTCTTCTTCTTCTTGAATCATATTTAAGTTGGTTGCGAAGATGTGGGAACTTGAGTCAAATCAATTCATTGGGAGTGCTTGATGCTTTCTAGGTGGTGAAATTGCAGGTCAGTGGAAAATTATGGATTTCATTGAGTGTCAAATTGGCATATTCTTTTGCTGCTCAACAAAATTGAATGGGAAACTATTGTTTCCTTAATGCACAGGCTCTAATAAATTTTTCTTGGAAGGAAAGAAGCTTTCAACAACAACAATCTTTGTTCATTTGGAAAGCTGAAATAAGTAGGTTGACAATTCTAAAACTGATCCTGCCCTGAGGCACTAATTAATAACCGCAGATGAGTATTTATTTATTTATTTCAAATGGCAGGCACTTTGATAGTTATCATTAGTCCTTTAGTTGACTTCGGGCTTCACAGAGGGGAGGAGGAACATCAAGGTGACAAAAAGTGGAGAGAGGGAAAGAATAATGATTAACAGATGTAAAGGAGACAAACAGACACAAAGGCATAGAAAAGGTAAAATGACTACTGTAGAAGGGGTCGAATATGATATAGAGTAGGGTCATTGTAATTTGAAGTCAGAAGTCAACTGCCGATTAATTGACTTTGTTTGCCGTGTGAATTAACGTTGCCCAGGGTGCACCACGTGGAGGTAAGTCTATCGCACACCCCTACCGTAGTTGAGCATTCAATAACTTATTCCAAGGTGTGAAAATCCACCTTATAAAGGCTCGTAGTTTCAATTGAGGTTAACATGTTTTTTGCTATAAGGAACCGGTGGCAATCATTAATACTTCTCCTTGCTAAAAATTAAAAATAAACAATAAAAGTCCTTTTAGAAAGTGAAAATAAAAAACAATAGGCAAGCTCTATGATGCAGCTTCTATACCATTTACAAGGTGATATCTTTGACGAAAGAAACAAAGACACGATTTCTCAATGTAATGGCGAGAATCTCCTCCTCTTACAGAAGAAGATCACTATCATGCAAAATGATATTTCCTCTTTGATACATCTGTCTTTACGTCACGCCTTCAGAATAGCACATTTCGGGGTTCTCTTAGACTTCTTCGGTAGATTTTGAATGCCTCTTTGTTCAGATACGTATTCAGCCGACTAAGGCAGTCTAACTCGGCTTCTTCTTTGTATTATTAAGCCCCTCGATGAATCACTATTATGTGTTGGATGAACAGCCGTCCAGAAGTTCATGAGAAGAGCTTTCAACTTTTCTACTATTGTCCTCCCCCCCCCCCTCCACCTGTACCCTTCCTTTTATCCAATTCCTAGCTCTTGAACTGCATGTCTAGAACAGAACACTGCATTTACTATCGACTATACAGGAAGATCTTCATAATCCATCCTCTCTAGAGCCTTCCTTTTCGAATTAATTTTCCATTCATTCATCATTGTCATGCCAACTTAGCTGGAATTCCTTCATGTAAAATAATGCATTGGTCTCCAACGGAGATATCATGAAGTTTTGTTGATTCTATCAATGATATAGCTCACTTTCCATTGGTTGACTCATAAGTCAAGTGTTTGGAAGAATTATCAATGAGTCAACAAAAGCTACCACAAGCATCAGTGGAATTGAAGGCGTCTTCGCGACTTATGATTGCTTAGAAAATATGGCGTCAGAAAATGAGGCACGATTATGCTCGTTACAGCTCAAAGGCAATCGCACCCAAGGAACAATTGATCACATCGGCATCCCCACATATTACTCAAACGAACAAATAGAAGGGGTGATTTTTCAACATTTACAGGAGTGCAATGAGGAGGTAACGGCGGCAAAAGTTCGTACTGATCTACAGGAACTGTTCTTTTTCAATTAAGAAAAAAATAGTTTTTTGCCATTTTGTGAATAAGTCCATGTTATTTCTCAGGAAGTTCTATTTCAAAATGTATTTGCCAAACTAAGAGTTTTCACGCCTGAATTTTAGGATGGAACACTTCGGGCTGGTGACCGAATTCTACGGGTTGACTGGCATGACGCTCTTCATGCACGCTACGATTCTGTCCTGGAGTGGTTGAGATCTGCTCAGCATCAGGTAATCTATCTATTTTTTATTCTATAATCATCCATGTCAAGAAAATATTCAGCTTTGAGGAGGATTCAAGTTTAATGCTATTGTGTCAAGAGTCTCATTTCTTTGGGTCTTGGATATTTATTTATATCAAATGGCAGGCGTTTTGATGGTTA